TGCCCACATGAAGAAAAAGTCTTCTAACTCCGCAGTGTTATTTGACCAAATCATTTTTAACCAAATTAATGAACACTTGCATACTGACCACCTAGATTCAACAGTAAAATTTTTTGCCATATTTCCTTTAACTTTTTGTATGTGTGTAAGATTTTTTTTTCCTGCTGAATTATATAGACGTGACTTAGTGAAATTTTAGTAGATGATAAAATTTCACTATTACTATTTTCTCATACTTCCAAGAATAAATACATTTTCTATTCCAATCTTAATATCATTAACATACCTGTTAAAATTAGCAGTTAATTGCTTAATATCATTTAATATCCATGGTTAAATCATCCCATGTCTTTTACAGTGTTTTTAAATCCAGGAGCAAAGATCATTTTTGTTTGTTTCATTTTGTTTGGGAAAGAAGAGGACATAAAATCAAGTTTAGTTTTAAAACCTTTTCTTTGAAAAATAGTTTCAACTTTTGGCCTGTCAGTTTGGGTAGCAATTATGTAAAGAGGAAATTTAGAGGCAAAGATTTTGGAAATGATTTAGATAGGAAAGACAAATATGGACCAAATATTTACAAATTAAGAAAATGGAGAGTAACATTTTTAACAAGGTTCTGTCTATTTCTTAAAAGTACATATTTGTATAGTGTCCCTGCACACAGTAGCCCTGGTTGTTCATTCGAATTCAAACAGGGAGAAAAGGATGTGTTACTGTTTACTCTCTACTCTTCATTACTTTGTCTGTTCTTTATGCAGGTGAGTCACAGAATGTATACGCTTCACTGAGAATCTTTACAATGTGTGTAATTTTTAAAAGTTAGATGTCCTAACTGCAGTGGACATGGCATCATGTGAGAAGAGGCGATGTGTTAGAGCAGTAATTTTGAAGAGCAGATATTTTGGGTTCCTAGAAGGCCACTTCTGTAGGCTCATCTCTTAACGTAACTTTAAACCCTGCTTCCTGCTTGGGAAGTCATTAGGGAAGCAGGAAGGTGGTGAGGATTTTATGGGATACTGATTTTATTTTATTTTATACTCCTATAAAAAGGAGGGAAATACCTGGGCCAACACTTACTCTGGCCAATCTCAAGGCACTGATTAACTAATGAGACTGAAAGCTTTGCAAAATTAACAGAAAAAAATTGTAATTAAAATACAGGTTGATGAAATATTCACTAGGCTGATATGGCTTTATTTTTAAGACATTGACACTTATTTACAATATACTAGCTTATTACTATTTTTGATTTAATACTTTGGCATCACATGGATCCAAACTATATGGGAACGTGTGATGGAAACTGTAGGCCTTCTGTAGGAAGGAGAAAGGAGGTAACAGTGGAAAGGACTTAGATTCTGGATTTAAGCAGTTTAGAATCTTTGCTCTGTTATTAGCTATCAATCTGGGTAAGTTATTTAACTTCCCTAAACCTCTCTTATTAAACGAGGATAATTATACTTACCTCCCAGGGCTGTTAGGAATACATGTAAAGATGCAGAGCACAGTTCTGGCAAAGGCAGGTACTTGTGTAAATGTGTGCCAGCCTCCCTTTCACTGTATTTATCGATTTTGATAATTTAATATATCTGATCCTGGGGCCACCAAACTGGACTCAGAGGGATAATAAACGCTGGCTCTTCAAAGTCAGATAATTCCTGTCCCTGTGAGAAAACCGGTAATGTGGTCTGTTGTTCAATATGCCGGTTAGATGATCAGGAGTTGTTTCTTCAGTTTCACCACTTCTCTGTTTAATTCTACGACGCTCTGTGACAGCAGAGGCAAATGATGTTGGCACATTTTCTAGACTTTGTTTTCGTTCTGGTGTATCTCTATTTGACATATTGAACTAAATGCTATATTTCCTAACACAGTACCTTTTAAAAACTCCAAATCTGCCTCCTTTCTCTGTCTGCTCTATAAAAACCCTTGTGTGTCACCCTCTTCTCTCACTTGAACACTGATAGTTGCTCCTACTTTGTCTTCAGGCCTCTGCTTCTCTCCCTCTTCTGTCCACAGAGCAGCCCAGGTCAAAAATTTAAACCAAATTGTACTATTCACTTGTTAAAAACCCTGCAATGCTTTCCATTACTCTTAGAATAAAACCCAAATGCCTTTTGCTGGCTTACAAAATCCTACATGGTCTTCCCTCAGCCCCACGCTGGGAGCATCCCATCTTCCAACTCATCCACTCTTCTTCCAGGAACGTGCCAGTCCCACTCTGTACTTCTTAAAAGTTCTACATCTGCTCCCACCTCAGGGGCTTTGCACTCTTTTATTTCTACCTGAGTCAGTTCCTCCCTAGTTTTTACGTGGCTGGCTCCTTCTTATGCTTTAGATTTGGCCCTTCTTCAGAGAGGCTTTCCATGACTACCCTGCTTGAAATAGTCATCCAGTCACTCTATTTTAATTCTTTGCATAGCATTTACCTGTAATATTCTTCTCACTTATATCTACCTACCTACCTACCTACCTACCTGTATTTCCATCTTCATTTATTGTTTCTCCCACTACCATGTGTGATTCATTAGAACAGGGACCTTGCCTTTCTTGTTCACTGCTTTCTTCTGCACCTAGACTAGTGCTTAGCATAGCTAGCAGCTTAATAGATAGAACTGAATGAATCAAATGGCAGAAACTTCCCCATCCCCCTTTCTGTCTTTATTTTTGGGCAGAAGAGAAACAGTCTGACACAAACAAGAGGGGTTAGGACACATGCAATGGGGAAGAAAAACGAAGATGCCATGACTATGCTTGAATCTAAGAAAAGTTTCTGTTGGTTGGACTTTAAGTTGAAGACAATTTTATTGCTACCAAAACAAGTATCTTCAAAGGAAGTTTTATTTTGATAAACAAGTAACTTACCATGAGCAGCAGTATCTTGAAACTGTTAATCTGACAAAGCTTGACTTTGTAAGTGATTGCAGATGTGCTGTTATTTGACTGTAATTTGATAATCGATCATTGTGTTATCTGAGGTTTACAAGATACAGTCTTTTTTCTTTTCTCCTTTTTCATTTTTTTCCACCACACGCTATCGTACAGCACAGAATGAGTTTTACTTATAGATTGTAAATACCTGAGAATCAAACAGTGTGTATTCTAATGCCATTGTTCTACATCTGTGTTATGCTTCATACACTGCAAAATGTCCTCACATTTATTACCGTTTGCACTTCTAAAATATTTTATTTATGAAATGTGTTTCTTTCATATATTTCCTATGTTCCTTTACTGACAGATTCCTCTCTTATTATCAAAGAAGTAAAAAGATTTCCAGAAATACTATGTATGAATTCCTTCGAAACTCAATATTAAATTTTTCCCCATTTATTGAATTAACTCTTGGGTTTTCTAATGTGTATTGCACTTTTGATCTTTCTTTTGCCAGTGCTTTTTAATAAGCGTATGGGAATTTTTCCATATCTGCTACAGAGGTCTTTAAGTCCTAGTCAGCTTTTTTTTGGTTTCATCTAATTCTCCCTCTCTTGTTTACTAAATCCCCAGGAAAATCTTTTGTAGCCTTAGCAGCTTTTGCCCTCTTTTTCTGTCTGATGTTTGGAACTTCTACCTTCAAAGCCTCTTGCCGTGACAGAGATCAGACATGGCCTCTAACCTATTTTAAAAGATTTCTTGCAAGATTTTAAGTATATTTGTATTGCTTATCCTTTAATTCCATCAGTTTTTTACTTTTTAAATATCAATCTTTTGTATATATCTTGACAGAATGCAATCCTGGCTTTTAATTTTTGGTCTTTTTAATTTAGTTTGTCTTTTCTTCAACAGATCTTTTAAGGTATTGCTATTTCTTGTAATGAATTTTTTTTTTTTGTCTTATTGGGAAACTCTCTCATTTGACATTTAACAGAGCAGGAAAATCTGATTTCCGACATCTCTCTCTCTCTGCCCCTTCACCTCTTCACTCTATTGTTGTCTTCTTCCCATGAAGAGTTTATTCTCCAGAACATTACACTGTGTCTTAGTCAGTTTGAGCTGCTGTAACAAAGCATTACATACTGAGTGGCTTATAAACAATGGAAATTTATTTCTTACAGCTCTGAAGGCTGAGAAGTCCAAGATCAAGGCACTGGCAGATTTGGTGTCTGTGGAGGGCTTGCTTCACAATTCATAGGTTGCTGTCTGCTTGCTGTGTCCTCACATGGTGGAAGGGGCAAGGGAGCTCTATGGAGTGTCTCTGTAAGGGCACTAATGCCATTCATGAGGGCTCCACCCTTGTGACCTAATTGCCTCCTAAAGGCCCCACCCCCAAATACCAAAACCTTACAAATTAAGTTTCAACATATGAATTTTGTGGGGACACAAGCATTTAGTCTACAGCCTATAGTAAGGCAATTTTAAATTGCTACAGGGTAACACTTCTCTGTAGCAAAGGTGAAGTAAATATGGATTGCTTAGTAAATTTGCCTTTACTTAAGTCCATGGGCTTGGCCATTAAAATGTCCACCTATTCAGCTGATGGTTGTCATACAGAGATAACAAGCAAGAAATTGCTTAATCAGTCTTAATTGTTTTTCCAATAGTCTTTCCTACTAGTTGCTGAGTTAACTCCCATCTCACATATTGCAACCTTTTCTCTGGGAAGATTTTTCGGACGCTTTCAGCCTGGATTAGATACTCTCCCTCTATGCCTCCACAGCACACCACACTAACCCATTGTGCGTCTTTTTTCTTTCTCCACATTTGTTGGTAGGGACCAGGAATGTAAGGAAAATTTCTTGTTTGCTGCAATGTCTCAGTCTCAACAAAATACCTTCATATAGTTGGTACTTAATAACTATTATTAGATTTAAGTTCTTTGGTTGTTTATGCCTTTGAAGAATATTTTTTGCCCTAGGTCCTCTTTAAGTCTTCACAAAATTTCGAGCAAGATTCCTGAGTCTTACAGGCATGCTTAATAACCTTCAACAACTCAATAGCCTTCAGTTTCCAATATCTTTTTTCTCTTCATTTATAAAACATGTTTTTTTAATCTTTTTCAGGATAATTGACTGTTAAAGCTCTAGAGAACTTAGAAGGAAAATTCACCTGTGGAACCTCCTTCCCTATTTTAAAGATGAAGACACTGAGGCCCAGAGATATCTGTGTGAGTATTAATTAGTTAACTGACTGCTTCAGCACGAGAACCTAGCTCCTGTGTCTCTCACTGCCTCACACTGCTGTAGGTCACTTGAAACAAGAGCTAATGTCTTACTCAGTGAATCCTTGTAAGTCACAAAAGATATTAGAGTGAAGTTATCCAAAGCAGGACTGCTTCTCCTTTTCAAGGATCTGATAATGCCACTCATTTCTTGAGCTGTGATATGTTCCTCTAGATGACTTCCTTTTTGTGATTTCTGTCTTGACCTTCTTCCTCCTACGAGAGAGGCAGAGGTTTCCCTCGTGAGTGGAGAATCATACCTAGATGTTGAGTAAGACCCACTAGTTGGATGACAGACTCTCCCTGGGATTGTTCAGGGTAGTGCTGTGCTTCGAAAGGAAGTGAAGTCATTGGTGATGTGAGCAAAGACTGTGGCAGATCACAGCTCTAACATGGCCCGTATTTTTGCCCTCTCTTCTCACTCTCACCACTGACTCAGTGTCTGCTGATCTTGTGTCCGTGCCTGCAACCGTTCTGTACTTAGGTGAAAGGTCAGTTTTCTTCTCACTGTAATCCCTTCCCATATAATCCTTGCTGTGCCTTCCTTGCCCTGTTTTGACCACATCAACACCCTTCCATCTCATTTATGATTTGCATCAATTTGTTACAACCTCCTAACTGCTATTTTCCCGCTTCCCATTCTCCTCACTATCAAAGGTTTACCCTTTACTATCATTTTATTGGGATCTCTAGTGGGATAGGAAAATGTATTCAGCTCAGTTTCCATCTTGAGCTATTACCTCTGTTTTTGAACTTTAAATACAAACGAATTAAAGCTCTTGGTTTTCCATCTGGATTCTGAAACATTATTCATGCTAGTTATATGGGGGGGAAATAATAAACCATAGTTCTATATCATATGTCCTCATCTGCCATAGAATTAGGTGATCCCCATTTCTAGATCTAAAACATCTATGTCTTTAATAAAATAATATTTGTAATTGGCAAAAATATAAATGAATCAGTAAACACTTCTTTATTTCCTCTTTTGACTTCAGTTTAACTTATTAAAGTATTACAAAACAAAAATCTCCACAAAAACATGCAAAATGTCAGATGTGTAATATCTTAACGTTGGGTGAGATCCAGATGTGTCTAGAACAGAGAGCGCATTAGAGGTAATATTTATCTCCAGTTATAGGAGCTAATATTGGGCAAAACTTGCAAGGCTCAGTCCAGATAAGCATCCAAGTGCTTGGCTGCTAATCTCAAACCTTATCTGAACTATCTGAACTTCTCAAGTCTTGAAAACTGGGCTGGACATCTTCTGAGAACAGCCTCATCTGGGGTATTTGGGTATGTTTGATTCCAGCTGGAACCTGAAATTGCAGAGAAAGGCAAAAATGAAGAATAACTGGGGGGACATGCTGAACTTCCTCAAACCTCAGAAAGAGGTTTTGGTTAAATTTGGAGCAAAGGTTAGGGATTATGAACAGCTTCTATTTTATCTGGCTGCATTCATCCATCCTTTAAAAAAAATCCTGTTTGAATCTTCCAGATGAAAAGTCATTAATACTTCTTTGTTTTTGGTTGGGAAATATAGTGAAACATCTTTTAAAAAATGAACCTTTGCTGGTTTTACATGTCACAAGTAAGATTTTGACAGCATATGATTGCTTCAGAATGGCAAAGTGCATGTCACTGATCGGTAACACATACCTAGGTTTGGTTTGGGGCATCACACCAAATGGAGCCTTAAATCAAGTTGTAGGAACACCATAAAATATAGTTCACTGTAAGCATAGAGAGTAAACAAGAATAAATCATTCTCTATTGTGTTGTTCTTTCTTTATCAACTCTGTGAGTATTGCACATATTTAAAACACATTTTTTTCTTTCATTTTTACAATTTTATTTTACTTTTAAATACACCAATCAAAATCAAGGGATTTTGAACATATAAATATGTAAATGTAGAAGACTAAAATTTGTTAATTGCCTACTGTGTGCTAATTATAGGTACATAATCTCACAACAACTCTAAGAGGTAGGTGTTATTAACCTAATTTTACAGAGATTGAGGTTCAGAGGGGGCTGTTTATTTGCTTAAGATTGCACAGCTAGTGTGATGGGTAATTTTATGTGTCAACTTGGTTGGATGACAGTGCCCAGATATTTGGTCAAACATTGTCCTTTATGTTTCTGTGATGGTGTTTATGGATGAAATTCACATTTAAATTGGTGGATTTTGAGTAAAGCAGATTGTTTTCCATAATGCGGGAACCTCATTCTATCAGTTGAAGGCCTGAGTAGAACAAAATACTACCCTCCCCAAGCAAGAGGGAATACTGCCTTTCGACTCTGCCTGCAGTATCAGCTCTTCCTGGTCTGAAAGCTGACTGCCTTTGGACTCTAACTCTTTCCTAGTCTCCAGCCTGTTGGGATTCCCCATCCCCTTTTGGACTCACCAAGCCTCCACAGTTGTGTGAGCCAACTCCTTAAAAAATAAATCTCTTTCTGTGTTTATACGCACATCCTATTGGTTCTGTTTCTCTGTAGAACCCTTACTAATATAGCTAGTAAGTGGGGAAGCCAAGGCTCAGGCCTTGCTCAGCTCACTTTCAGTGACTTACACCAAATCTCATTTTATATAAACACTTTTTTTCCTCCATACTGATTTTGTAATTCAGTTTGTCAAAATGTGAATTATATGTTCACATTTACGTTCATAAACACACATGAACACCTGTATACATGTTAATACACAGTTATTGAGCGTCTGCTACGTTGTTTTGTTTATACACATATGAATTATAGTTTTGGCTTTTACAGTGGAACTCCTTAATCAAAGAGAATGATGAATTTTGTCCTCAGTATATAATTAATCTCGTGGAGACAGACTCACTTTACCATACTTACTATTGCATAGTAGTAATATTTTCCCCCTATGGTATTATTATTGGCTACGTTTATTCCTAAAATCTAGGGTTTAGACCTGAATCCTAATAATTGAAAATATTTTTCTAAATTTCCCCCAAATTTTGGTTTCATGGAAAATATTTTAAATATTTTAAAATAATCATAATTCTATCTCATTATTCAGTTCTCATTTATCCTTATGACTACGAAACTGAAACATCTAAACCCAAAAAAAATGAAAAAGAAAAATGAAATTAAGACATGAAGCAACAGTGAAATATTATGGAAAACTTTAGAATACTATTTTCAAAGGCCCTCTAAAAATTGCCTAAATAAGGAAAATTTATAGTAATATTACCTGTAGCTGCTAATCTATCTTCTAGATAGGTGTGTAGCTGTTTATCCATCTCTGTTTCTCTTTGGTATATCATGGCCTTCACTGTTACATCAGTTTCAGCTAGATTTATGCTTGGCATTACAATTTGGGTGAGACAATGGTCAAAACCAGGGTGTATAACAGAGCTAAACCGTTTAAATGTGTAGGTGGTAAAGGGAGAAATAATTGGTGTATATTTAATATTTGTTCCTCACTTTTATATGCTACATATGCTCCTCACCTTAATTACCTAGTATTGTGAGATAGAAATTACCATCCACAGAAGAGAAACTTAAGTTTCAGAGATATTTGTCCAACATCAAACGTCTAGCACACAGGGTAGGAGAATATAAACCTGTGTCTGTCTAATCCTAAGATTTAGTTTTCTGATTCTACCGTGGGAAGGCTATGGTTACTGTTGAAGAATGCACCACAAAAAAAATGCTTCTTGCTCATACGCTTCAAAATAGCCTTTGGAATAAACAATCTACTACTACTGAAGTTATCATTTCCATTTTGGCCACAAGTACCAGTTCTAATCTTCAGCCTTGTTTATTTTTCATGCCTAGACACTGTGAGACCTTTGAGTGAAAATGCTGTTCCATCTCAAGAAATCCTTCCATTAGCCTTTCCCTCTCATGGATCTTCTGTCTGTCTGTCTCTGCTAGGTCCTTTCAGAGGCATTTAATATGCTCAGATCTTCTGTATCTGCTACAGGAAAACAAACGTGGGGTGAGAGGATGGCCATGTTCCACATCTCGATTGAGTCCCTGAGATGCACCCTGTCAAGTGGGGATCATTGGCTTTATTCAGGAAAGAATTCGAGAGCAAGCCACAGTTGAGTACAGATAGATTTATTTAGAGAGGTACATACTCCATAGAGTGCAGGCTGTTTCAGAAGGCAGGAGAAAGGCCATGAGGTGTGGGGGCTGGGTGCTGTAAAACTAGATACACCCTCCATAGACACAGTGCGGGCTGTCTCACCCAGAAAGAAGAGCGGCCATGAGTTGTTAGCTTTCATGGGCTCCATAGCTTCATATGCTAACAAGTGGGAGGATTATTCCAACTACTCTGGGAAAGGGGCTGGGATTCCCAGAAATTGGGCCACTGCCCACTTTTTGACCTTTTATGGTTAGCCTCAAAACTGTCATGGCACCTGTGGGAGTGCCATTTACCATTTAATATATTGCAATGAGCATATAATGAAGCTCAAGGTCTACTGGGGGTCAAATCTCCTGCCATCTTGAGCTCCAGGTTTACTGGCAATTGAATCTTACACCATTTTCGTGTTTATTGCCCTGTCATTCCTTAAATGGCCATGCCCTGCCTGCTTCCTTCCTGTCTCACATCTATTTAAAAATAATTCTCCTTTGACACCGCTTTCCCCTCCAGCTACTTTCAGTCTCTCTGTTCATTTAGTTGTCAAAATTTCTGGAGAAAAGTTGCCGTATCCATTTCCTCACATTCTCCACTGAAATATCCCCTACTAGTGTCATCCATAACCTTGTCAACAAATCCAATAGATTTTTTTTTATTCCTTACCTTTCTTGAACTTTCAGCAGCATTTGATATTATCCATACACTCTCCTTCCTGAAAACTTTTGTATGTGTAAGAAGCTTAAGTTCCTGATTTTTCCTTCTACCTCTCTGGAAACACATTCTAAGCCACGTATTTCTTCTCTTCTTCAAATTTTGGGATTCCTCAAGGACCTC